CAAATTGTTTTTTAATCAGTAAGGATGTAGTTATCGTCGCACGTATGGAATTTTGAAAATTTTAATTTAAAAAAAAATGGCGACTGATTGAAAATTTTCTCACTATTCTTACTGTTTTTTTTTTGTTTTAACCCGGCTAAAAAAATCTTTAAAATAAAAATTTTTTTAATTCCAACTAGCAATTTGAGTTTTTAATTTCAGATGATTTGTTTTTGAGTTATCGAACCGACCGTGGAGGGGGGAAATTTTCTCCAGTGCTCGACGAGATTGTTAATAACTTTGTAATAATAAAATATTTTTTAATAAAAATTTAGGGTAATAATTTTTAATGTACCCTTAATAAAATAAAAAAAATCCGATTCCCAAATTCCTTTATTTTCCCTGTCAAACAAATTCCTGAAAATCACCTCTTTTTTTCGATCGTCACAGTGGTGTTCCCCCTTAATAATTTTTTTATATTTTTAATCACGCTATGCATAGCTTGGGAACTTGTTAAATAAATTTTAAAAATAATATTTCTATCACAGGATCAATTACAAATAATATAATGGACAAATGTGACGGACACAAATTTATAGAACCAACAAACTATGAAAAACTCCTTCAAAAACTTAATATAAACAAATTACTGTCACTGAAAAATGTATAAAACAGTGAAAAAGTACTAATTCTCATCAAGACCTTTCTGATGATACCAAATTAAACTATAAAAATTCCTTTAAAAATAATAGTATGCTCGTCACAAAATTTTCTTTACCCTCTCAATTACTTAAATCATAAATGACCATCGCTGAAAAAATATCAAAACTAATTAACGATAAAGATACACCCGTTACAAAATTTTTCTTAGTCTCTTAATTATATAAATTAATTTTTTACATATAACCACATTGACATGTGCAAAACGAAATAAATGAATAAACAAATTTTGTTTATCGCGAAATTTGAATCTGTTTATAACTACTTCGAAACTTATTATAATAAAGGAAAAAGCTTGGAATATCTAGAGGTGCACGCCTCATAATCTCATTTTTCATAATAAAATTAATTAAAATAAAATATTAAATCTTTCGCGCCATTCTCCACCCAGAAAAGAAATGTACTGCGCATGTGTTGTAAACGAACCTTATTTACATAGATACAGATATACAAATGATAAGTGGATATTAGTTTATTGCTAATTATTATATAACATAAAACTACATTGAATTAAACCGTTATCTTCAAAAGGACTTAGTTTTGGATAATACTGAATTCTACACAGAAAAAAAAAAATGTTCTTGAATCAAGTATATAATTTCGAAGAATTTAATCTTTTTGATTTGAGTAGAAAAATTCTTGAATTAATAAATTTTTCTTGATTTAAGAATTTTTCGTCTTGATTCAAGACCGTTATACCCTCTTCAAAATTATTTTCTTATTTCAAGAATTTTTCTTTTGAATCAAGATAATTTTTTTTTCAATGTATAAAAAAAATGAAATTGATCAATTAAGTTTTTCGGCAATTATCGTGACCGCACCAGTTTTCATCCATATATCAGACACACGGACATATACACGGAATAATTATTTTAAACATTTTTTTTATTTATTTAAAAAGCAAAACTAGTGTTTTTCCATGATATTTATGTGTATAAATATTATTCTTCAAGTGCGATAGAAAATAAATAGAGACAATTTTAGTTGAAAAAATCACTTGATTTTGGTAAGATGAGAGTAGAGCACTACTTCATCCGTTTCGCATATGAGGCGTGTAATATTGCTGAAAAACATAATACATTGAAAAGGCACAAATTCAGCTCAAAACCTTTCCAATGATACTAAATTTAATTTAAAAAACTAATTTTATCATTATAAATACGCCGGAGAGAAAATTTTCCTTATTCCCTTAATTACATAATTTATTATTTTAGAAATTAATGGGCATCATAAGTGCCGAGAAAACGAAGAATTGAAACGTTGCGGAAGAATTTGCGAACAAACTTGCTTCAATTTTGTCCATAAGAAGTTAGACTGTTCTCATGATGAAGTAATAAAAATTGCTCATTATTACTATTTTCGTTTTTAATAATTTTAATTACTCATAGTTTATTCCTTCACAGAAGCAGTGCAGCAAAAAAACTGAAGATTGTAGTTGTAAACAAGGATATATTAGAGACGAAAGCACTGGAGTCTGTGTAAGACCTAACCAATGTTCTCGCTGTGATTACGGAGAAGATTATTTACCTTGCGGTAAATTGTGCGAGGTTTCTTGTGAGTCTCAAGTTGTGCCTAAAATTTGTAATCGTGCGGTAAGTATTTATACATATTAAAATTATTAATTAAATCAATAAGAGTGGTTTTTCTATTACTTATATTTCTATAAATTTCTTTCCAACTAACCTCTAATTACTTTACACTATTCATAGATTTGTGGTCAATCAGATTGCCGCTGCCATTTTGAAGCCGGATTCGTACGAGATCACTCTACTGGAAGATGTACGCTCCGAAAAAATTGTGCTCGGAAAAATTAATTGTTAAGTTATGATACCGAAATTGAGAGACATTTAATAATTTTTGAAACCAATAATTTATGATAAAATATTAAAATAAAAAAAAAACATTTCACATGTTGAAATTGCAAATAAATATAAATAAAAATTTTTTGATAATTTATTGGTTAAAAAAAAAGATCGAGTGTTTCTTACTTTCAATGTCATATTAATTATTCATAAATTTAGTCATTCAATTGGAAGTAATGGTGTAGTAGAAATATATGCATACTTAATTTTGAAATAGAAATAAATATTTTTCTGATGCAATTAGTCAATATTTTTTATCACAATTTATTAACCTGCGCATAAATTGTCTCATGATAACAATAATATTTATTACATGGCTTGAAATGCGAAGCATCAGAGAGTATTTTTCCAATGGAAAAATTTTTTTCGCCTCATTTTATTAACCCTAGTAGCAATTTGGTTCAAGTCTTGAGCAAAAATATTGATGAAGTATCTGTATATAGATTTTTACAATTCTTGGATAAAAAATTTACCGCGGATCATTCTTTAAGAATCGTCGAAGAATCGCTCAAGATGTTTGACCAAAATTCTTGGGCCTGACTAGGGCCAAAATTCGTCCAGAAAATGGCCAGATATGGTGGGGCTCGCCACCACCACTTTTTAAGACTCAGTTGTGAAGGCAGAAGTTCTCATTCTTATTTTAGTACAATAAGAATGCGCACTGTTATCATGATAGCCAGCGCTTTGTTGGAAAGTATTTAGTTAACTCTCAGTAGTTACGGTTAACTCAACATTAAGCTTACGGTAATTCTTCACTGAATAACAGTTGTAAGCAAATTGACGAAAATCTACGATCGCAATTTGAATGCAAGTTAACAATCAAACTTGTAGTTGAATTTCGGGTTAATTTTACTACAACTTGACTAAAATACTTACACAGCAAATCTTGACGTCAAATTGCAGAGGAACTTATAGACAACTTAACTGAAAACGCTTGCTTTGCCAACTCTTTCCGGCGGTAAGTTGGCTCCAAATTGCGGACGTCGATTGCCAGCAAGTTTCAGTTAAGGCGGCTATCAAGATATAGTCTGGGTCAAACTTCTTTACCAATAATCTGGACAAATTTTGGCTACAGACTTGGCACTAGCTTGATCAAGTATTGCTCCAAATTCTGTTTTAAAATCTTGTCCAAGCCTGTCGCAAGTCTGAGCATATATTCTTGGTTAACTGTCTGGCTCAAGAATTTTCCAATTCTGTTTCTAGAGCTTGGTTTACCAATAATCTGGCCAAAAAATCTTATTCAAAACCAATGTTACTAGAACGTTCAATAACTTCCAATGAACTTTTAATGGCTAACTTATAAAACGCGTTCTTTTGATTATAATCTCATCTATCAATGAAAATAATTACCACTATTGCGTAAGTAATATAATTGCTTTAAAATTTACAAACTTTATTAATAACACAAGATAATTGGAACCACCGCGCTTGCAATTATGAAGAAATTAGTGCTGTAAAATACTGTACGACACTCAAAGAAGAAATAGATTATATACCAAGTCTATCATTTTTTTTAACATATTTCTGTTTAATTATATTTGTGTTATAAATTTTGTAAAATGAATTAATTCATTAAAACATACTAAGTAATTTGACTCTAATTATAATTGACATAAATTTGAAATTAATAAAATTAAGAATATTTAACTTCAAGTGTAATACACAGCATGTATGATTAAAGTTATAGTTACAGTAACTGATAATTTGTAAGAGATAATTATTTTTTTTTTTTTACCCCTCTTTTTCAGACTTTTTTCGTCTCGATGGGGTAGTCTAGTCGACAAGTTGAAAATGGTACAAAATAGAGATACTGCTCTTAAAATTAAGTGCGATAGCTCATTAGATCCGGAATGACGTCTAGAAAAATGTGCCAAAAGCGTGTATTAGCACATAAAAAGTTGCAAAAGTTATAAACAATTAAAGATGAAAAAAAATGGCATTTCGTTTTTCGCCAATATTTCATAAACTATTAATATTTAAGAAATTTCAAAAAAAGATTCTGAAAGAGGAGGAAATTTCCAATAAAAAAACTCCTAACTCCCGGAACTCTATCTCCATTATTTATAATTTTAATTTAACGCTGAAAATAATAAAAAAATTTAACGCTAAAAAAATCGATTATCGTACTGAGAAGTCATTAATATTTCAATTTGTTTATTTAAAAGTTAATAAAAAATATGATAATAAACAAATTAAATTTGCAAAAGAATTTTAAGTGAAAATGTGGATATTTTACTATAATTTCCTGAAAATTTCGTTAAGTTATCTTCAATAGCTTTTTCACAATTAATTTTTTTATTAAAAGTACCGAAAATTTTTATTGTTAAAAAAATTGTTGTTAAATTCAAAATTTTCAAAAACTGTTTTGAGGGATGATTTTTAGGTATGACTACTTTCGATAATCATATTTTGATAAGTTTCCTATCACCAAGTGGTAAAAAGGGGGTCCACTTGACGTGTTTTGACTCAGTTGAATTTTTAATATTTTTTCTCGAAAAATGTAATTACACGCTTTTTATTAGCTTCACCTGTATGTTTGTTAACAAATTATATTGCACTTGAGGAATTACAAAAACACAATAAATGTTTAGATAAATAGAATGAATCTAGGCAAGTTAAGGTCAATATGGACAGAAATTATTTTTATAATTAGTTTAATTTATTCAATAATTGTTTATAATAAATAAAGTTTTATTTATAACTTTTATCGGAATTGAAGATTTTAAATCGGATCTCTCGGTGAACGATCGGACCGAGGAGTTCAAAATCCGATTTCTCGGTAGACAGTACGTCCAAGACGTTCAAAATCGGAACTAGTCGGACCATGGAGATCAAAGTACGATCAATTTCGGATCAGGAGGTTCAATATACGAACTAGTCGGATCATGACGCTCAACGTACGATCAATTTTGGATCAAAACGTTCAAAATCCGATCGAAATTTCGACTCGGGTAACCCTTCGACAGATCTATTCAAAAAAATTAATTTAGACGTATGAGATAGCAATTCATAACATATCAAAAAATTAGCTTCTGATCTTCAAAAGTGCATTAGTGTCCGTACAACCTTAAAAATTTGTAATCTTCACTGAATCATTTTAAATCATAAGAGGTGACAGAAATTCAACGAGTATTTAATGATTAGGAATGATTCGATATGATTAAAAATTTTCAATCCTAACTTAATCATTTTAAATCATAAGAGGTGACAGAAATTCACAAAGTATTTTATAATTAGAAATGATTTGATATGATTAAAATTTTTTAATCATTTTATATTCTGTCAATTTCTCAGTATTCGAAATGATTTATAATGATTAATTGTGAAATTTTGAAAATGATTTACATGATTTGGTATGATTAAAAATGATTAAAAAATTAATCATTTTTAATCATTTCAAATCATTTTGTTTAATCAGGGGCGAAACAAATTTTTGGAGCTTATTGGAGTTTACACACAATTTTTTTTATTTACTTTATTTACTTTTATTTACATGTATTGATATTAATTTGCGATTTGAAAATATTCACAAGTTAATAAAGTTAGCTATTTTGACGAATTAATGTAAATAAATGTATCATGTATGCTTCGAGTAATATAATGGTTAATTTCAATTACCATAATTTATTAGTCTATATATACGATACAATCGTTCGTAAGGAGTAAACTCCAGTCGTGCGTCGGAGCTGACACACACAATTTTTTTTTACTAACTTTTCTATAAAAATATCATGACAATAAATATGAGGCGCGCGCAAATTAAATTCTAGTTGAAGCTTAATAAAAGAGCTTTACGATGCAATTTACAGAATTTCAATATCTTGTCTAGTTCAGTAATGACACCAAGTTGAAGTGGTAAAAATATCAATTTTTACGATTTTCAAATACCAAAATCCTGTCATCCCAAGCGTCACAATAAAAAATGTTAACTTTTCGGTAGATTTCACACAACAAGAAGTTAAAAAGTTAATAATTGTCAACTTAAATTCAACAAAACATTAACAAAAAAAAATTTGTGCCGCTTGGGATATTTCCAAACTATTTTCAAAAGTTGCACCATCAGGACGACTGCAATAGTTAAATTTTTATAAAATCTACTAAAAATGCTGATCTGCTACAAGGTTGTATGTTGAAAATCTAATTTTTAATCGTTAATAACTTTTTTAAATAATCGATCACAAATTTTCAATTTTTGCGGGAAGATTACTGTATAATTAACCCTTCGTTACTCGCGCTCGCGGGGATTCCCCGCACAACACTACTTAACCTAATAGAGTTGGCGTGAGTACGAGTGAGACACTAGAGAAAGCGCGAGTAACGGAAGGTTAAAACTTATCAAAACTAAAAAATATACATTTTTATCTGCTATTGTCTTACTTATGAACGTCTTGAAAAATATATTTTTAAAAATTACATTAGTAATTTTTTTTTTCAATTTCAAAAATCCCGCCATCAATTTTATGGCCAATCACAAATCGAATAAGAAAATGGCAGAAATGAGGTCAACTTCGCGTTACTCATGACTCTTGCGCATGCTCGTTACAAACTTAACACCTGTTTTGATGGTTAAACATAATAAAAACTTTAAAAATGTATTTATTAACATAAACAAGTTATTAAAGATAATTTGATAATATAAATTTTAAGTTCAGTGATAATTAATATAATCAATCTTACGAACTGTATATTTTTTAAATAATAAATAAAGCTTGGTATTTATATAAATATTTTGGTTGAAAAAAAATTGACAACCAAAACAAACTTGTAAACACAAATATAAAATTAATTTATCAAAAAATGGAACTTAAACATTTGAACTCGTTTTTAACGGATCCGGTCAATGAGAATGATTTTACACAGGTAATTTTTGTTGATTATTTTATTTATTTAGTTACATGGAAAGAATTAATTATAAATTTTTTTTAAAACTAACCAACAGTTTTTCCACGGAT